TCTCGCCAACGTCGTACGCCTATTGGTCAAATTTTCGTTACACTTTTCGTGTCGCACAATCGAACTTACTACCGTACCAAAGAAGTTTCATTTCGTACGCTTATTGGTCGAATTTTCGTTACACTTCCCGTGTCGCACAATCGAACTTACTACCGTACCAAAGAAGTTTAATTTCGTACGCCTATTGGTCGAATTTTCGTTACACTTTTCATGTCGCATAATCGAACTTACTACCGTGCCAGAAGAAGAACCGTTTCGCCAACGCCGTACGCCTATTGGTCGAATTTTCGTTACATTTTCCGTGTCGCACAATCGAACTTACTACCGTACCAAAAAAGTTTCATTTCGTACGCCTATTGGTCGAATTTTCGTTACACTTTCCGTGTCGCACAATCGAACTTACTACCGTACCAAAGAAGTTTCATTTCGTACGCCTATTGGTCAAATTTTCGTTACATTTTCCGTGTCGCACAATCGAACTTACTACCGTACCAAAGAAGTTTCATTTCGTACGCCTATTGGTCAAATTTTCGTTACACTTTCCGTGTCGCATAATCGAACTTACTACCGTGCCAGAAGAAGAACCGTCTCGCCAACGCCGTACGCCTATTGGTCAAATTTTCGTTACACTTTTTGTGTCGCACAATCGAACTTACTACCGTACCAAAGAAGTTTCACTTCCGTTACACTTTTTCGTGTCGCAAGTCGAATTCACTACCGTACCTAAAAAAGTTTCACTTCAAAAAAAACGTAAATAAAAAATTATTTTTGTCAATAAATGCGTTAAATATAATTTACATATTTGAATATAATCAATAGCATAATTTAACGTGAGAGAGAAGCAGCTGATGCCATGAGATAGGCGCAACGCGCCCGCGCGCATATACGCACCGTTTTATTAATAAAAATCAAGTTATCTGAAACCAAGAAAGCTAAAACTTTGTAAACTTATAGTTATCTGTAACAGTTACACGAAAATAATTGTCCGCTGAGGTTTTCGCAGTGGAAAAGTGCTCAACTGATGCAGTGAAGGATGCCACGCGCTCGCGCGCATAGCGATGCGCCGTATCTTTCAGTCATCAGCTGAGCACTTTTCCACCGCGAAAAACTCAGCGGACAATTATTTTCGTAAAACTGTTAAAGTTGACTATAACTTCCCCTTTCAGCTTTCTTAGTATAAGTTTACTCAGCGCATATTTTTTGTGACGTCAGCTGACTATTATTTTCCGTTTATTTAGATCATAATAAACGTACAAACAAAATCTCAGCTTTCTTTATGTCGGTTTATTTTTATTATAATTATACGTGTGTGGGTGGCTGCCGCGACAACACCCACCGCTACCATGGAAGCTGACGTTCACTTCGTTTATTAGCAGACCGAATTGAACACTAGCCGAAAATCTCAGATTTCTTAAAATAATTTACTTAAAATGGCAGCTGGCTCCCGGACTATAAGGTAGCTGACACGCGACTGTTGCCAGCGCCTCGAGCGACTCCTCTTCACCACGGGGACGCCAGAGTGGTGACCTTACAGAAATATATGATGTCCCTCGTAGATCTCGGCTCGGTCGTCGGAAGGTGCATCTCTCGCTCGGGCCGGCACGACAGTGGCAGGGCGATGGCCCGCGATTACGCTGGTTCCTCGCGCATGCGCGGTGGCGCCGCGAGCTGGTACGTTCGCCGATCCGAGCGCCCCAATCCTGCCTCCCAGCGCCGCTCTTTCTTGCGGCGCAGCGCACTCTACTTCCGCTTTGAACGCGATTCTTTTGAAGTAATAGTCCGGCTGTCCGGGCCGCGACTATTATGATCGGCGTTTCGTGGGTCAGGCTGGCCGGGCCATGGCCCCGTCTACCGACAGTTTGCTCGTCTCGGGTGGTGACCTCCGGTCGTGCACCTTCCCCAGGGCCGATCTCGCACCCGCCTCTGGACTCCATTAGGGCATCTCCCTGAAGCCCCTTTGTCTCCTCTGTGGTGGCAGAGCTCCAAATTCGCAGCAAGCTACGACTTGTATAGCAGCCTTGGCGGCGCCTGCAAGGAGGTCTGGACGTGATCCGGCCGACGGCCATGCCCCTCGGCCGTTTTCCAATGCGTCCTCTGTTCCTCCCCCGTGGCGGCTCAAGGCCGTTACAAAGAGATATAGTCCGGTCACCACCGGCACTCCCTTAAATAAACTTAAATTCTAATTAGTACGAATTCCGCCGCAGCGGCGCAATAGCCCTCCCCCGCTCCGAGCAAAGAAGCACCCCCGAATTCCCCTCGGCCGAGTCCGTCCAGGCAGGGGACGCGACTTGTCACGTCACAACTTCCCTCCCCAGACGAGTGCCGAGGGGAACAACTCCGACCCGAACATCTGATCACCACTCCGGTGTCGGAGTAACTCTAACAAGTTTTTCGAAAAAGAGACCACTATTACTGGTAACCCTCTATCGTACTATGCCACACACCCCATCTCACATAAGAATCATTTCAAGAAATCCGCCACAGACCAACAACACATCTCAATCAGCTCTCTTAAAATTGTACCCCAGATCTGGTTGCCCCCAAACGCGAGATAGTACTTTACCGACGGACTCGCCGCGACGATTAAAATTTAAGTCTGTATGGGGCAGAGGAAGGAGATCAAGGAAAACACATAATAATTTATTAGTCAATATCTGTATTCCGACCTGAGAGCGGCCACCGGGATTATTCCGTTCCAGCGGACGTATACTGACGCGCCGCCTGAGAAAGTGGACGTCAACTATGTCGTTACGCTCGGTAACGGTAACACACATGGTTCGTGTCCGTGCTATGGTTCGTGTCTGAACTACTCAGATAGAAGGGATATGCTGGTCGCGCAAGCCCCTCCTCTGTCCGTGTACGCTTGGCACTCGGCAAGCTTCGAGCGGGGAGAGAAGGACAGACATACGATCTGCTGTCTCCTTCTCTTTTGAGCTGTGACATTGTCGGCGTTGCCGCTTAGCACGCGCCGGCTATACCACGATGCCACGCATTTCGCGTCTTGTGTCTCGCCGAGTTCCGAGTCTCAAGGGCAAATCGACGATGCGCTACGTTACATTTACGTTTATATTTATGAATTTTAATTTTTATATTTATAAATATTTTTTATTATTTTTCTTGTATGTACATACGAATAGAAATTCTAAAAGAGAAAAAAAACATAGTATAGACATATTCAACATATTTTATATGATATTTCATATATTATATGATTATATATATTTATATATAAAAAAGTGAAAGATCTGCTCGATGAAAGCAATAGCTATATATAGAAAAAACCGGCTAAATATCGAGCAATAGTTAGGTGTTAAAAGAAAATTGTGATTAAAGCAATTCGTGTATTTTAAATTTGCTGTAAGCTTACGTTTCGACCGTACTTAATCTTCTTCAAAGCGTTTACAAATATTAAGAAACAACATAAACCGTTGTCACATTTACAGCGTTGGAATAAATATTATAATAGCGAAGGTCAAAGTTGATACAATATTTTTGTCGAGCTTAAACTTATTTTACAATTAGTCAAGAGTTATAAAAAAGAAACCTAATATGAGATTATTGTTTCGAAAATTATTGTCCAAAAGTAGCGCATCTTAATTGCGGACTTGCACAAGTGCTCTCTAACGAGGACGATGGTGGAACGAATCACCAGCAATAGATTTTCACAACTGTAGCGCTATTCTATTATAGGACTTCTTTGAAACAATAATCTCATATTAGGTTTTTTTTATAACTCTTAACTAACAATAAGATTAGTTTAAGTTCGACAAAAATATTGTATCAACTTTGACCTTTGTTATTATAATGTTTATTCCAACACTGTAAATGTGACAACGGTTTATGTTATTTTTTATTTGTAAACGCTTTGAAGAAGACCAAGTACGGTCGAAACGTAAACTTACAGCAATTTAAAATACACGAATTGCTTTAATCACAATTTTCTTTTAACACCTCACTATAGCTCGATATTTGGCTTTATTTAAATATGTTTTTATATAAATATTGTAATGGTAATGTTAATATTTTGCCGTTATTATTTCCGGCGTAAAATATACGTGACGATCCCGTTGGCGTAGCGCGAGGTATTGATTATCAGACCCCGCGTTATTACGCTGTGACAAGGATAATGATGCGGGAAAAGAAAGACAAGGTTTTCGGCGTTTACTTCGAAATATATTTCCAGTTATTACATTACCGCGAAGTCCATTGCACGGACTTCAACCCGCGGATCGATACGTCGGGAATTACAGAGGCGGGAGCCCTCCGACGCACGACCGTTCTCTTTAGCGACTTCCTTCGAACTCTCTCGACTTATCTCGCACGACCGCGCCGGAACATGTTCGGACCTGCACGACCGTTACAAACTTCTCACGTGAACATCTTATGATGCCACCTACCAATCACACGCCATTCGCGACCGCGCGACGGTAGCGCTGACGTTAGCGCCCCTCGCGTTACCGCGACTTCCGCACGCAAGGTGTAGAGCCACCTATCGGGATAGGCCCTCTTTGATTTCTTACAATATTTATTACACATAATTTAGGAAGGATTTTGAAGGCAATTTATCAATAAATAAAGTGACACATACATATACAAGTAATCTGTTTTTTATTTTTGATAGTAATAAACTTGTATTCCTTTTGTGCCACTGGTTGTGGTACTTACTCTACCTCTCCCTCTCCATCTTCCTCTTCCTCTTCCTCGCTGCATTTCGAGGACAGCAGCCCTTATAATCTGCTGCAAACTTTTCGGCTGAAACAAAAGATAAATATGCTATATTAAAACATCATGCTTTTGTAGGTATATGTAAAAGCGAGACAACAAAACATTTCGCGATTTATTGTATGAATACTGTCGGTCGCTGTCACACATACGATGTATGCGGCCGTTTAAGATTTTAAATATGAAATTCATTATAATTTTTATTCTTACGGTTAATACGATTGGCTCGGTCGCCGTCGTCGTCGCCGGGGCCACCGGGGCCGTCGTCGCCGCCGGGACCGCCGAGACCATCGAAACCGTCGGGGTCGCCGGGACCGCCGAGACCGTCGGGGTCATCGTCACCATTGTCGCCGCCATGGCCGTCGTCGCCGCTGGAGCCGTCGTCGCCGCTGGGGCCGCTGGGGTCGTCGGAGCTGTCATCGCCACCTAGGCCGCCGGGGCCGTCACGATCGTCGTCGCTGCCGGGGCGGTCGTTGAGGCCGTCGTCGACATAGCCGTTGAGGCCGTCGCATTTCTCTTATCTGCACTGCAATAATTTACAACACATATTAGATATATATACATATAATACTTACAATTATTCATTAACGATTATATGTATACTCACAAAACTCGGTTCAGATCCTCCTGCACGCTCACACTGAACAGCCTCACGCTTACACAGCCAGACAATGAATGTCGAACGTTGTTAGCGGCACGCAAGACGCGTGATTGCTAAAGCCCGGTCTACATAGGCCGCAGTTCGCAAAATGCAAGACACACGCACAGTCTACATGTCAATCTAACCTCTTTGTGTATAGAGGTTAGATT